AGCAAGCCTTCTAAGTATGAATGTATGTATATATATGTAGAAGTTGCAGCTGATACAGAAATATTACACAGCGTAATGGAAAAGTTAATAGATACTAGCTCTAATATTGTATTATGATACAAATACGCAATAGTCCGAAGGTAGTGTTTTACAATCAGAATTATACAGCGATGGAGTCCACATAACAAATGACATGATATCGAGGAAATTTATCATGAATATATAAATATTTAGGCTATACAATTCACGGTGCAACTTTAATTGATCACCTCATTGAAGCGATATGATTTTTGCGTATCAGTTTCCATTAACAAAAAGTAGCTTTAATCAACTCGAAAATTATTTCAACCTGTGACTGTCTCTTATATACGATATTTAAATATTGACTTTGAAACACATTTTGAAGGCAGTATAGTAAAAACCACGAAATTACCATAATATTCAAACTTTTCGTGGTTTTCATCACAGATATATGCCGAAAATATCCGGTAGTTTTAACAATTAACATAATCTAAATTAATATATCCGGCTGATAGACGTCTGGTACTGACAACTTCCTATAATCATGGCGACTGTGATTTTCATATCTATATTATAACTATCTAAAAGTGCACTAGTAGATATATAAATTACCTTTATTTTCGAGAATGATTTCAAAGTTCAAACAAGATGATGTATTTAAAAAAGTCATGGATCAATAATTGCAGGAAGTCTTTTTAAATACATAATATATAAGAAAAACATTTGTAATGTTGAACATCCATCGAAGCAAAAATATGTTATCGCTAAAGGCAACTCGTTTGATTTCTATATTAATGTAGCAATCACCTTAACAACTACTGATTACGTCCCTACATATAGATATTTCCCTATAGTTAAGCACTTGTTTTGATTACAGTTTTCAATTCGTGTGATTTAAACCAGTGGCTGTACAAAATGTTTGTAAGACTAGAAATACCTACAAATGTAAAATATAGGCAAAAGAGCTATCACACAAAAACATATTCGTACAGAACTTTGTGTGTAATGTTAATTTTTGTTTAAAATTCAAGTAAATGCTATACATAAGACTATTTTCCTTGTGAAAATGCTCTGTAAAATTCAATTAAATACAGTAATATAATTCTTTTTAATTTGATTACAAATAGAAAATTATGTTTAAATAGAATTGAATATTTTCGAATATCAATTAATAGGTAATTTTCAATCAGTTTAATAGAAAGCAAAATATCAAACTAATTGACTAGTGTCAAAAAGTGTGATATTAGTTACACACTCTTTTAAATAAAATTAAAGTAATGAAGTATAAGCGTAATACATATAGTGTAGTAGTACAGTAAATTTTATATAAAAGGATTCCAATATATCCTAAATAATAATGTGTGATAACTCTTTTAAAACAATCTAAGCAATTCCTTCTATAGCCGAAACTATGAAATATGACACAAAAATCTACAATTACATTACATTACACATATCTTAATTTTACATATTTTTACACGTCCTAAATGGATATTTATCACATGATTTTATTACGTAAAAAACGCTATCTTAGTAAACAGTAACTAGATAACATACAATAATTTAGTGACTTTGTAACGATGACTATAAGATTTCGATTGATATATTTTCCAACGATATTTAGCGGTGCTAATTAATAATGTACTAAATTCAATGAATATGCTTTTAAGCATAGTACTGTGATCCATTTTCTAATAAATCATTAGCTACAATGTATTAGTTTCCAAGCAAAATTGTTTAAAATTCTCTAATTGTGGTCTCCTGCATTTAATACTTTTAAGCCTTAATAAAGTTTATACTTGTTGAGGAACCACAACTACATATTCTTTCCATCCTTCGTTTCCGCTGGCTTGGCCATTTTTCCAATATTTTTTTGTATTTCATAGATCCCAGTATGTCAACTTTATGAAGTGTTTATCTATATTTTGCATTTATCTGTCATTATGTACATTTGTGACATACTATTCTTATGAGTGAATACAAATTTTGATGACATATCGCTGAGTACAAAATAATTTCTTACTAATGTATAAAAAGTATAGTATAGTAGAAAGTAAGAAGGCCTAATAGGGAAAGCAACTAAGCCTATAAAAGGATTTCACTTAATAGAAAAAAAGTAGTCAGTTTTGTGACCAATTATGTATCTATAACTGTGGATACTTTAAAACAATTATTGAGTGTACATTATATATGACAGCAACAGCTATGAAACATAAAGAATTACAATCAGTTCAGACCGAACATTTTCTTTTCTTTGCGTTCTTATTTTTCACATGGTGATACTCACTAACTTTTTTCTCCGGGTTTCGATGTTCTTTAGTGTTAAAGCCCAAGGACTGCACAGCGTATCATATTTGACATACAAGCGAGTTTGCACTCAAGACACTGTGAATCAAGACGGTGTGTTTATCAACGGACATGCAGTTAGGACTTGTCCAGTTTCAAGTTCAAGTAGCGTAGAACTTTTAAAATTGTCTGAAAATTTATTTTGATCACTCATTACAAATATATTTTAAAGTCTTCGTTATATATCAAACTAATTACGCAGCAGAAGTCAAACTGTGCTTAGTGGAGTCGGACGGGGTAGTCATATACCAATACATTTTAACAATAGGGTATTTTACACCATGTAAAATAAAATTAAAAAATATATGTTTATGATAAATTTTGTAAAAAGTAAACGAGAAATATTGATTTCTGTTTATAAATTTGTATTATAAACACCATATTTCAATTTTAAGTATAGTTTTTTTCACAAATCTGCAAAACTCTGTCCGCCATATTAGCCCATGTCGTGACGTCAGTGATCCAGCCTAAGGATATAGTGTTCTGTGTCATTGATTAAGAGAACTAGCCAACATGCTGTGTTATTTCGAAATTTTTCAAGTTATCATTACGATTATTTAGTTTTATTCCGAATTTTATTTGAAAAGGCATCATGGAATAGGAATTCGTAAAAGCAGAAAGTACTAATGCATCAAGGATAGATAAATTGATGGTGGCAAAAATTTTTGCATGCAATCCCTATTTTTGTACCGCTGAGTTAAGGAATTTTAAAACATCACACACAATCTATCCGGGTATCTTCTTGCCAGTTTTAACTAAGTATTTAAATACTTGGCACTCGAATCCATAACTTTCCCGGCGTTCTTAACCTCGTATTTTTGCATTCAGGCACAACACAACAATGATTTAGATGATTACTTATTATTAAACATTAAAAAGTATCTTAATTCCTTTTCAAAATAAAGGACAGTGACGTCACAAGTCGAACAGCATGGCGGCAAGCGTTTTACGCGAAAATTTAAAAGGATATATTAAAAGTAATTTTTATGGCACTATTCTGTTTAAAAAAAATGTGTAAAAATTATAGTGGTTCATTATCACTCTAGGATTCACTTAAAATAATTTTTGAAAATGGATGTAATACCCTATTGTGCATTGACCGGCATTTTAACCCTAGATCACTAACCTTATTTTACAACGCTTATTACTAACCTTCGTCGTTTCGGCTACGCTGTATAAAAGGGAGGCTTTTAAGGATTTATGCAATAAAATATTTATATGTGTTTTACTTATTTATTACACTAATCATTTGTTAACATGTTTATAAGTCTTTTATCTACTAAAATCACATTTTAATTACTTTGACACTCTTTTAATTCAGACCTGAGTTTTTACTCATTTGAACATAACATTTTTTTTAAAATGCTTAATTCTTATGAACTAAAAGAAACAGACACTTAAAAAAGTATTAAAATATTAAAATTAAGTAATAAAATCAATAAAAGAAAGAAACAGTTTAGAAAAAAAGTATTAATTAATACACTTGTGACAAATGTCAAGTTTATGTTCGCCACACAAGGATTTGTTGCGCTTGGTGCAACAATTCTTTGTCATTATTCGCTTTGCGGAGGGGCAAATTGCACAATTTTTTCTTTTTTTGGCAATAGTAAGACTAACTGTATCTTTTCTTTGATCAGTCTCATGTGTAGAAGTAGAACTACTGGTTCCTGGCATATTCAAAATCGCTGTTATATAGTCCCGCAGTCCCGTTTGAAGTGTCGGAATTTGTAATCTTTTTTGCATGTGTGGCTCGACTAATTTTTGATGCTACTCCGCCCTTAGTTTGATTGTAAAACTCAACCATCGTGGGTTTTTTGGTTAACTCATCAATTGTCCCTACCTTATCACAAGTTGACAGTAGGAATATTGTCTTTTGGGGCTTTATACTTGCCTGGATGTCTTCGGTTAAAGGTGGTTGTTCTATCACAGAAAAAATTTCTTCCTTACCATCTGTTTCATAAGCCGGATCAGCCTCAAGGTGGTCTTCTATCTCACTCTTAGAGCAGTTTTCTTCGTCACTATTATTATCTAATAACAGCTGACTAATAGTATCTAAAATAAAAATATATTCAAATATAAAAATAATGTAAGTTCTTATTTTAATGTAGGCAAATTAAGTACAAAGTTTACAAAACACCGAAATAATTATAACACCAAAAAAAAATAATTAAAAATGACTTTGAAAGAATAACGTTAATACTAACCTTCGTCGATTCGACGACTCATGGTGGCTGGAACGGCGCACACAGGGCCCCTACACAAAAAACACACTCGTGTGTCGCGGGAGCCTTGGTTCAACTGGGATTAGCCGGAATCTGCAATGCTTACGACGACGCACTCAAAATTTATACCACTTTTTTTGAGTCCGCGTCGTCGTTTCGACGAAGGTTAGTGATCTAGGGTTAAAGTCGATTATAGCAACTTCAATATTATTTACCCGTTCGGTACTGCAGATTCTTTCAAAATTATTAACGGCCTACCTCTGTTAAGCTAAAAGTCGCAGTGGTCGTTTACCAGTAATTCTCTACACATGTTCATTGACCAGCATTCTACAAAGTCGATAACAGCAACCTTAATATTGTTTACGGGCACTGCAGTTACTTCTACTAGTCGTCAACGGCCCAACCTTGGCGCTAAACGTCGAGCTGTGCTCGGTGTGGCGGGTGTGGCGGGTGCGGCGGGTGCGGGGCGTGGGAGGCGCGGGCGGGCGCGAGGCGCTCGAGCGGCTCGAGATCGGCCCGCGGCGGGCGCGGCGCGCGCGGCAGCCGCAGCGGCACCGGCAGCAGCTCCGGCATCACGCTGTGGTGCGTCACCAGCGCCGACAGCGAACCGAATTCCTTCGTGAATCCCTGCAACGGTTCCTTTATTTGAGGGTTGATATTTTTTTAAAGTTCAGGATGACAAACCTGCACACGGTCAGCAGTCAGTAAGTGAATTTTAGAGTCCGTAAACACCTACATTTATCCTCAATTAAGAATTAAAATACAAACACGTCGTCACCCAATACGAGTACCAAAATTACTCGTATGTAGAATAAGGGTAACGAACAAGCACACAGTCCACCTGATGGTAAGTGGATTCAGGAGCCCATATCCTCAATTAAGAATCAAAATGCAGATATGTTTTCACTCTTCGGAACCAAGATGTAATTCCTCGTTTCGAGTGAAAGGGTCTCCGGTTCTCTGCACACACACAGCAGCATTTAGATGCTATTTTACACCCAACGACTACACAGCCTGAATAGACGCCTCATGCAAAGCGAACACTTTCTGTCAACACGTTAGACAAATACGTCTTACTTAAGAAAACGATAGCGCAATCTACTTTAGTAGCGACCACATCCCTGACCTGTCAACATCTTATACGTGACTCGTGAATTTTCGACAAAATAAAATACAACAGACGCGCAACATGGCTCCCTGTACAATAAAATAGTACGGAAATAGTAGCCAGATGTATAATTTCAAAAAAAAAAACGGCATCACTTTTCATAGATAAGTAAATTTTAAATTCATTAATTAAAATTAAATCAGAACTCAACTTATATTTGTCACAAAAGCAACTCGCGTTGATTTATTCTGACATCTTCGGATATTTTTAGGCTATGCATCCCTTTCTTTTTAATGCAGTTCATTGTTGCTATACTATTCTTTAATTACCGGCACGTGTAACTAGTGATGTACCAGTTGAGCTACAATATTAGTACAAGTAAATAATATTATGCATGTTATTGTGAATGTTTTACAGACTTATATAAACGACATAGGTGTAAGCTGAATTTTTTTTAGTTAATGGTCGTTATACAAAATTTGAATTAATTATTGATTTGAAAAAAAAATCATAATAAAATTGATATTATTTTTAAGAGACGGCACTCCGCTTTCTTTACTGCTACGACGCCATGTCAAGACAAGTAGGAATCGGAAGTGAACTTGACAGTTTAAATAACTGTAGCTATTTTATTTTTAATAGTATTCTATTATTATTTCAATATCGTAAAACAAGCTTGTTTTAATAAAAATAATCTTTATAACAGAAAATTATAGGTATTTTACTAAATACGATACCTACTTAAATAAAATTTCTTTTGTATTTTTATTATTTTGTACTAATTTATAGTAGAATGTGGTTCTGGTATTAAGTAGACTTGGTACTAAATTTAACAGTTAAAGTTCCCATCACTATTTGCTTATTAACAAGTGTCGCAACCTTGATTTTAACCAATCAGCGTGCATTTCAACCCCCCTTCCCCGTACCACTTACTTCAGACTTTTGACAGACAGGTTTTAATGCAAAAGTACATATATTAGGCGTCTATTCGGGCTGTGTAGTCGTTGTGTACACCGGTATTCGATGGTTCTTTCCTGTTCGAGCCGACCCATTCGGGATGCACCAAAATTTTACTGCAACATAGCTCTATCACATGTAGAATTTTATACAATAAAATAGAATGCCTCAAAACCAGTACCTAATTATACCGGCTCTCTATACCCTTCAGACCGTAACACGTTAGTTCATGTTTCTCATAAATGTAGCATATGTGACACAGCCACAGAGTACGTACCTTGATTTTGTACCCCTTGGGTGTGCGTAGGATAAGGTAGTGCGCGATGCCGTGGGGCGCGAAGTCTCGCGGCACGCGCAGCGAAAGCGCCAGGCAGCCCGCTTGTGTCGTGGAGCCGCGTACCAGAAACGCGCCCACCGATTGAGCGCCAAGCACCTCTAGCGCGATCTGAAACGTGTTTTATAAAATTAGCGTGACAAACCATATAATCCACCTTACGGTGGGTGGATGTTATGCTATCTACAGGTCACTGGTTTATAACTGGATCGATGGATAATGATTTTTTTATATTTACGCGAACACTACACATTGAAATAATACCAGTTTTTACGGAATTTATCGCGTATATTTAACTTCGACAGTCGACCACAGTTGAGCGTGTACCTGCTGTACTGCCATATGTTAGAGGAGTCACTGACAAGATTGGCTACATCTTGAAGCGCGCTTCCATCAAAACATACTTCAAGCCGCTGAAGAAGATTGGTCAGTTTTTACCATCGGTCAAGTGTAATGTCCCTCTGCAAGATGCAGGAGTGTACAAGCTTGATTGTGAATGTGGTCTCTCCTACATAGGACAAACTAAAAGATCAATAAAAACCCGCGTTAAAGAACATATAGCTGATGTGAAGAATCGACGCTCCGGGAAGTCTGCAGTCTGTGAACACGTACAGGATTGCCCCCGTCACTACATCAGATTTGATAGACCACAGATCCTCGCTAAAGAACACCGATTCCTTCCAAGGATGATTCGCGAGGCTATTGAAATCAAAAAACATCCTAATTTCAATAGAGAAGATGGCTGGGTGCTACCATCTGCTTGGGATCCTATAATAAATAAAATTAAATCCCAACCCAAGCATACAACTGCAAGACTTCAAGATACCATAAGTTCATACTGCATAGATCGGAACAAAAGTTAAATTTTAATCTATGGTAACCGCGGTTAACTATGACATATGGACGTTGAACATCTCAGTCCTGCCCGTGACCATGAATGCTGTAAAGCGTTCGAAACGCCGGGTATTTAAAAAGTTAAATATACGCGATAAATTCCGTAAAAACTAGTATTATTTCAATGGATCGATGGACCAAAAATGTAGGGTGTTTTCCTAACTTCTACTTCTTAAGGTGCCGTCTCCTTGCGAAGGTTGGTAATCATTAGGGCGATTTCAATTTTTGAGACCGCTGCTCTAAGTAGTGGTCTTGTGTTCTTTCCGAACCACTGGCGCAAGTTCTTCAGCCACTATATCGTTCTGCGGCCAGGCCTCCTTCTGCCTGCCACTTTCCTCTGAATGATAAGTTAAAGAAGTTCATATTTTTTTGGTGTTACGCATCACGTGCTCAAAATATTCCAATTTCCTCCTCTTTATGGTTGTAAGTATCTCTGTGACCTTCCCCACTCTTTGTAACACGGTGATGTTTCGTACGCGGTCTCTCCAAGAAATTCTTAGCACATGTCTGTACACCCACATCTCGAACGCTTCCAGTTTTTTAGACATGGCTTCTGTCAGCGTCCAAGTTTCTACACCATAGAGAAGTACAGAAAAGACATAACACCGCGCTATGCGTGTTCGAAAAGAAATACTTAGGTTCCGGTCACAAAGAACTTTTTTTCATTATCGAAAAGGCGTTGCGTGCCTGCTCTATTCTGCATCGTATTTCGAGGCCGTGATCTCCTGTTTCGTCAACCATTGTGCCTAGATATTTGAATTTGGTGGCCCGTTCAAGACCCTGACCATTTAGGGATAAAGCCAAGATTACCATGTACTTGGTTTTATAGGTATTTATACTAATATTGCATTCAACACTAACGAAAGCCACTGAATCTACTAACCTTCGAAGACCCGTAAGACTATCGGCGATTAATATCGTGTCGTCTGCGTACCTAATGTTGTTCAGCAATTTTCTACTAATATGCCGTCTGGACTGTTATCTAGTGCCTCTGAAAATATGGCTTCAGCATACAAATTAAACAGTAAGGGTGACAAAAGACATCCTTGTCGTACGCCTCTTTCTATGTCAATGTATGACGATCATTTCCCGTTGACCCTTATATTTGCACGCGGTCGTTGAAGTTTTCCTAACACTTTACAATAATTAATGCTGAATTAACGGTAAATGTTATGATAATAAATACAACCAGCTGCGTTGAGTGCTGATAATACACTACACTGATTTATTAATTGACAAAAATTGTTACAGAAATTTAAACTAAGTACACATACAAAATAACGCCTTTCAAACATGTACAATAGCTCGTACAAGCTATGTGCAGCAGTAGAATTTTAAAGGTCATAATGGATGTATGAACAATTCACATAAGCACCTCTCTCGGTATGCCCTGCTGAAACCAGGGTGCGTGTCGCAGCTCGGGCTCGGGGCGCGCGTTGTTGTTGCCGGACGCAAGCGAGGCGCCGCACGACGACGCGCCTGATGAGGATGATGCCCCACCGCTGCCCGTCGCTGGACTGCTGCAGAACAACAAACAATACAGTTTTGATGTGGAAAATCTATTGGCGCGCCTTGGCAATAAAACCAACGCTGTCTTATAATGTGATACCTCCTTTACGCTCTATTCCCGTGTATATGCGTGCGCGTATATCATACTCGTCGTTGCTTCAATGTAATATTCCTCTACAAGATCCAGGAGTGTAAAAGCTAGATTGTGAATGTCGTCTCTCGTATATAGGACAAAACAAAACGATCTATAAGAGCTCTCGTAAAAGAACATATGGCTGACGTAAAGCACCGACGTTCTGAGAATTCTGCAGTATGTGAACATGTTTAAGATTGACCCCGCGATCCACGCGCGACCACAGATCGTCGCAAAAGAACACAGATTCCTTCCTATAATGATCCGCGAGGCTATTGACATTAAAAAAATATTCGAATTTCAATAGGAAGATGGATGGATACTACCATCTGCTTGAGATCCTATAATTAACAAAATTAAATCCAAACTCAAGCATACCACTGCAAGACTTCTAGATACTGTAAGCTCAGTCTGCGTAGATCGGACCCAAAAATTTAATTTTACAACTTATGTTAAATCTATTTCTCGATATAATTTTTTTTAATTATCGTTTTCAGCATTATGTTGCATTTTTATTGTGTAGCTTGCATACGTCTTTACATATAAATAAACTGGAAGTGTCTGTTCTTATATCGAAATATGAAACTGATTTATAGACATGAAACATGACTTATTAAATATTTTAAAACTTTTGAAGTGAAAACTTCTTTAGCGGCGTTGTACACTTTTTTTGTAATGGGTAAAAAATGTTAAACTCGCGTCAGGACACGTGACCTGATCGAAAATTCGTAAGACGGATGGAGAGTAGGTTGATTTTTCTGTGTGATAAACTTTTTAATGTAATATAAAATGTCATGTTTCTGTACGATAGCGCAATGAATAAATATTGTATTCTACACATAAATGATTTTACTTTTATACCGATAATTAAAGCAATTCGTGCAAAATTATTCCCTAACCATTCCAAAATATCGAAAATGCATAACGTTAAAATTCAAGTTTTCACTTCTGCCGGCACTCCCGGAGTGCAACCCGTCGTTTTTTCCTGTCTGTCTGTCTGCTCGACTATCCGTATGTCTGTCTGCCGGTTTGTCTGTCGGCCTGGATTAATCTTCAGAATGATCGAACCGATTGTAATTAAACTTCGCGAACAGATAGAGAGCAATGCCTGGAGCGATCTAGGTTATATTTTAATTGCAAAACTTGGGCTTTAAAAAATAAAATAGATAGAATAAATGTACTTTATCTCAAATGTAAAACAACGGCTCATTAATAGATGCCTGCTCAGCCGAAGCTGGGTCAGGACGCTAATAGAGATTAAAAAACTTTTGGCAAATCGAAATGTGCATGCCTTAAGCGCTCATGCTATACGTCAATTTTTTTAAAGTATTTTAAATACACACAAATTTTCACTAATAACCTACTTACTAACCCCGATTTTTTTCGTTTAAAAACTTCCGCGTGGGCCTCTTTTTAACCTTGCGCCCTTCAGCACGTGCCTAGTTTGCCGTGAACGATAATCCGCCACTGTCTGGAGGTAAAATCTTATCATAACTATAGTCAACCAAATCTAAGAAATACCTTTTGACGTTTCACATTAATCATTCAACAATAACTTTGCACAAGCGTACTCACACGATTTAAAATAACCATTTACGTAAATCCGAAGAATTATATAGTTATCTATATATCATTACAACGTGTATAGTTGTTTATCAGTTTATCACTAATTTAAATTTGAATCTTCCAAACAAAGCAAAGTATAAAAAAATAACAAGCATCAACTTTTTGTACTTGACGTCGTTTCAATGATATGTCGCTATGTATATTACCGTAGTGTTTGGATCATTAAAAATAATTCTTATGCTAATAATCGGCAAAAATATTCTAATAAACAAATAATTGAATCATTTTTTTTAATGTATTATTTGTTTAATTTAATTTTTTCTTTTAAATTTCCCTAAATTACACGAATCATGAATAAAACTAGTTCATTTTTTTAAATTATCGACGTAAATTTGTGTAGACAAAACAACTCATAATATACAAGGCCACGATATAAAAGCACTACGTAATTTAAATATCCAGCCATTTCGGGCGCGTACTGTGCGTAATTAGGTGATTTTGTGTTTGTCTTCTTATTTTGTGACTCGGCTTTAACTTTTTGGACTGTTTCTTTAATATTCGTTGAAGCATATACCCATTTCACAAAGGATATTTGGGCAAGTGGTAGAAAAATAAAAAAATTATTATGGATGACTTTGAAAGAGACATTAATTTTGACTGCATTATTGAAAATCAAACAACGACAGCTCAACTAGTTGTGCTGAGAATGATTGAATAAATTTATTTTTAATTTAGTTATAATCTTAAATTTTTATAACTGTGCCTCTAGAAATAAGCAGTACCTAACAACGAATACGCAGAAACTGATCAATCTTCTGTTTTAAATTATTCGTTTTTAATTTATTCTGGTATCATTCAAAACGAACTGTAAATGATTACCAACTCTAAATAATCGATATCGATTTTTTTAAGAATCGAATATATAACGTTCCCATTTTTTGGTTGGCATGCCTGGTGCAATAAGTCTGACAACTGTCAAAATGTATTTCTTAGATTTGGTTGACTATAACAAAATAAGCTCAAACTCAACACACCTATTACCACTACTAGTCTTCGAGGTATTCCAGTTGAATTCACCGAAATATACCTTCAGATCACTCCGTCAAGTCCAGGGGTAAGGTCACATCATAACTAACATAACGAGTACAATCTCGACGCACCTAATTCTACTAGTCGAGGATTTCCAGCAGCAGACACCGAAGTACACCTTTAGGTCACTCAATAAAGTCCAAGACGTATAAGTATATTTATATATAAATTCTACGTACTTATAGCGAAACAATATATTCTAATGAAAATCTGTGATTATAAAAATAAAAATAAAATCTTACCTTGGTCAACTATATATCAAATTTGGTTTTTGTAATATTTTGTATTTCTGAAGCGATCGATATTTTTCATCACGAGCTGCTGTAAAAAAAGATACAGTAATCCAATCACGACGGCGCCCGAGCCCAGAAGCCATAATGAGTTAAAGTGTATTTAGTAAAATATATTATAACAAGGCTGCTCAAAAGATCGAAAGTTTCATAATTTCCCAGCCGAAAAAAATATTTATAATAAAACAAAACAAAATTAAACTGCCATATACATTTCATGGCTTCCCACATGATAGATGAAGAGATTAAAAAATAGATTGAGTTGAACAACTGATATTTTCAAGTTATCGTGTTTACCCCTCCATGCGGACGTGATAAATCTACACCATAAGCACTAAAACTTTTTAATGTAAAAATAGCAATTAATCGATTTAAAATACTAATAAGTTCAACAATCATTTATCTTTCTGACAATGTGCTTTTTGTATCATTTACCTATATGTTCAATATGATTTTTAGATACGATTTTATGCGACAAAACGTCGGATTCTTGATTTTTAGGAGCTAGTTAAAACATATCTATGCGCCTTGGGCTTAAGGCATGCAATTAAATAAATTAATAAATACAGCAATGTGATTAAATTATTTATCATCGTCTCTCACGATATCCACGGAAAAGGAATGATAGATTATTTTACGCAGCAGTTGACAGCGGGTACACCTACCTATTGGCAACATTGTTGCATTTCCTAAAGTCGAGGTCACAGTGCGTGGGCAGATCGCGTGTCGCGTGTTCGCGGTTGCTCTCCCGCGTCCGCGCTTCAGCCTCCGAAGCCTCGTTGATGTAGCCGCCGTTGAGGCACAGCGGCACGTTCGTGGGTCTGAAAGTGTCGACATTTTTCATCAAAGAGATTCCTTTTAACCACTCCTTGTAAGCTTGAAACGCTTGTGTTAGAAGTGGTTCACGGCAGTAGTCAAATGGCGGATTCGAACCCACGACGTTTTGAGTTTGCGATCCGCACCCTGCCATTAGGCTACTGTCGCTTCAAAAAAAATTTACACTAATACTTTACGTTGAATAAAATATTTTTACGGTTGATTTCCTGCTGAGACTTATAGTATTTGCTGGCCTTAGAGTCTAGGAGGAAGATGAAAGATATTGGTCCTATGTTACGACAACTGATCTGCATTTTGTTGATTGAAGTTGGTTGTAGGTGTTCGTGGATTGCAGTAACCAGTTTTAATAAGATAGAATGTAAGCTTTATCACTTTTTACGACTTAAACCATTTATGTTCAGCCTTTACATTATTGTTACGAGCTTGGGTTCGAGACAAGAAGAACTGCCGAGTAAGTTATCAAAATTGACATTTAATTACAGAACACTAATTACAACTTAAAATCATACTAATAACAAAACACAATTGTACTGCTGATCACTTTAGTTCGCAGTAGTATCGCTTCGAAGTATTCGCTTGAATCGCCAATTCAAAACTGACTCAGGTTGCGGTCTATACCGGTCTTATATAGGGCCTCAGATGGTTCCAGAATCTTCGAACGGACTGTTTTCTATTGTAAAACATTTAGAATGTTTGAGCACATACCGGTCCCGACTGACTAAATGTTGATAGTTCTAGAAAGTTCTTCCAAGGAAATTTCTAGGAGAATCTTGACTCTCGTAGTTCTGCTACTTGATACTAGAAGGCGCTAGTGGTAGCTAGTGTCGCTATGTACCAGGCATTAATTGTGGCGCGCAACATTATTTATCAGCTAGGACTCCTTCTCTACCTACAAGTTCGTCTAGGTAGAAACCAACCTTTTAACTATTTCTGCCGCCGATTATCTAAGTTTGCATTACTGTCTCCAAGATCAATAAAGAGCCAGTATAATAAGAGGCTATGATAGGTTTTATCTCAGTCCTCAGGTGTAACGATGCATCTGTAACCTTCAATACACATATTTTTATGATATTATCATAATAATTGATCTTGGTTTTTATAGTTCAATAGATTTTCAATTCCTTCCTTTCCAACTCCTTTCCAAAAGATTGGATGTTATTCCTACTCCAAATTAATCTAAAATTAAATTGCATGACTCAATAATATTGTATAATATGTGAATTTTATGTGCACTTGTTAATGATATGCATATTAGAGAGTATAGTATTAAATATATACGAATTTATACTCTCTGACATACATATCAATAACAAGTGCACATAAAATTCACATATTATACAATATTATTGAGTCATGCAATTTAATTTTAGATTAATTTGGAGTAGAAAATAACATCCAATCAATACAAAACAATAAGAAATTGGAAATCTTTAGAATAAAAACCAAGATCAATTATTATTATGTTATCTTCAGGAGTATGCACATTTCTTTTTATGAAAGTATAAAATAAATAAAAAAAGGAACATTATAATTTTTAACAGGAACTCGACGATAAATGATTACTAAGTTTAATTTTAAAAGCATTATATTAGTTGTGAAATATCACGATCATCTACAAAAATAGTAACTTACGTTGTGGGAGTATCGGTGACAAGCGGCGTGGAGTCGTCGTCGGACGGCTGGAGCAGCGTGAGTCCTCTCGCGAGGCGTCTCATAAGCGGCGGCCGCTCGCCTAGCCTCCTGTAGCAGCTCAGCTCCGTCGGTGACGACTCCTCCGAGCTGCTTGGACTCGCCTCGTTCGCAAGGTTCGACCCGCCCATCGCGTCGCATTGCGCTGACGATCTGCCGTGATAAAGGATACCATATGTCAGGATTTGTCCTGACATGTCAGAGCTTTTGAGCTTTTCTCAGGATTGCGGTCGGGTTTTAGAAACGTTAAGCTTTTTCAATATTTCAAGTAAATATATTTTAAGTGGAAGGGATGGAATCTGCGACATGGACTGGTCGCGTGAGTATAAGAAACTAATAATTTATTTAACATTTTTCTAACAGTAGTTAATTACGTCCGCAACAGAATGTCAGGACTTTTCTGTGGAAATCTGGTTATTTGTCAGGAATTCAAAATTTTCCATTCGTTGTCCAATTTACCATTCGGTAACCCAGTAACGATGCAACATTATTTTTTAAAATTAATTATTCATTGCAACACCATACGACTAAGGTAACAATGAGCAGAAATAATACCTATCAGCATTCCCTGCCAGTCAGCTGTAGCGTAGCCAACTACTACATTATATATATATCCTTAAATAAATTCGCAATAAAAAATATTGAGGGTCACTTCACAGGATAAAAACTCATATCTTTTAGGTTGGAACAAACTGCACACAATGTGCAAAATTTCACTGAAATCAATTTAGTAGTTTATTAGTTCATCGCAGACAATCAGTGTGACACTGAACATTTAATTCTACTTATTTTTAATTTCCGACGTTTCAGGTGCTTTGCAGCACCGATGGTCACGAGGGGGACGCGGGTGGTTGACATTGTGATGTCATAGTTTTGGTCCGCTTTTAGTATCTTCAAGTCTTGCAGTGGTATGCTTCGGTTTAGTTTTAATTTTAATTATTATAGGATCCCAAACAGGTGGTGATACCCAGCTTACATCTTTATTGAAATTAGAAAGTTTATTAATTTTAATAGCCTTACGTATCATCCTTGGTAGGAATAAATGATCTTCCGCTGGTATTTACGATCTGTCAAATCTGATGCAATGACAGGGGCATTCTGGGATATGATAACAAACTGCAGACTTCCCGAAGCCTTGGTGTTTCAATTCAACATACCTGTCCAAGCAGTGTGGGTAGCGGTGCGTGAGGCCCGGCAGTGTGTCAGGGGCGCGAGTGCACGTCCCGCCGCTTAGCTCCTTACTCTGCAATAAATCAATAATATTGTATTAGCCACGACGTATCATAGGGTCTCGTCTCATTCTCTCTTCATGTTCTTCATTTTTCTCTAGACGAAGAACGTGATTTTCCGCTTATTATTTTCTGTCGTTATCAGGAAAATGCTGGTCACATATTGTTCAAGTGTCCCTCCATTGCCTCCCACAAAACAAACAAGGCAATATTCTTGTGCCACCACTACACCGCTAATCCCCCTATGGGGCAATCTAGGTGGGAGCAGGCCTCTATCACTTGCTGCCTACATGAAATAATTACCTAAAATCGCGACGCGCCCGGGCGAAATAACGCAGTCAGGGCTAGCGCGTTGGAGGCGAAGTTTTTTAACGTTGTTTACGTATATAACTTTTTGTAAATATTGTTGAAATAGTTTTCGTTTAGTGTTTAGTATATTTATTATAGGATAAAATAGTTCAAAAGTTTAAATGTAATTTAAGAACTATATATTACGTATATTACTCATTATTTCATAAATTTTAATATGACAAAACGTCTTTCCTACTATAATTGTTGCGTGGATAGACGCTAAATGACCAACAAAATATTTGAGATATATCATTCTTTATTACCGAAGGATTTTAGTAGGAAGTTATGAAACGTGAATTTATTTAATTTTTATTGTTAGATAGGTACTTATAGCAAAAAAGAATTAAGTAATAATTTATTTATTATCTACGTAATTTATTACAAAATTTATTTGAAATTTACTTCACTATCCAAGTATCTACTTACGTATATATACTTGCCTTTTGTATTAAAATATTTTAAGCTGTTATTTTAGCTTAAAATATATTAATCTAAAATAACAAAAAACACTGAAATCAAATCTTTGTTTACCAACAAAATTTTTAACTAAGTACAATACGATTACATTTTTGTTAGGAATCGTATTTCAAGTTTATTTCTTGTTTACAATATCTACCTTTTCATTCCGAGCCAAGTGTCGCGATTTCCGACGAATGGCCTTGCAAGGAACTCACGTAGGTGGGAAAATATGGTCTGTCGATCACAGTCAGAATAGGTATTTCACCTAAGTAACCTAATTAATATTTCGCAATGTATTTTGTTACTCTTTATTGACATCCCTCCATAACAACGCAAAGTCCACCGTAACGTAGGAAGAGGAAAATGTGCAAAGTAATACGGACACTCTCGCGCAGCGATAAAGTTTTATTTAGCTTGCGAGCGCGGTTTATCTAATTAATAGTAATTATGTAGGCTATTAAACGTCGGCAAGCAGTCAAGAGTGAAACTTCTGTACGTAGTACTATTATTTATTCCGTGGTGGGAGGCCTATATACAAAAAATATTTGTCTTTAGGTAGGTGGTTGAATATATTTTGTATGTCTGCTATGATCCAGGATTCAACGTTGGCAATAAATAATAGTAGTCAAATTGAATTTATCCCAACAATCGAAAATTGGATTTCGACTTGTGAATACCAAATTGCGAGACACTCGATCCAAAAAGACTATATATAGCTTAGCATATGACGCTGTACCAATTCTGAGTTCGATCAGTCTGAATTGCAATATTTGAAATAGTAATTTTTAATCACTGATATGTGCTAAACGAAGAAGGAAAACTCGCGAGGAAACTTACACATCTGTTTGAATAAAACTAAATTTACGGATTTTATCGCGTTTATTTCACTACTTTTACTTATTTTTAATTCCCGACGTTTCGGGTGCTTTACAGCAACCATAGTCACGGGGGGGGGGGACGGAGATGGTTGACGTCCCAATGTCATTGTTAGCCTGGCTACCTTCAGTTTTTGAATATTAATTTTTGCACTGCAGACTTCCCGGAGCGTCGGTGAACATGTTCAAGATCGTCCCCACCATTACATCAGATTTGATAAACCACAAGTCCTCGCAAAAGAACACCGATTCCTACCAAGGACGCGACGCGAGGCTATTGAAATTAAAAAACATCCTAATTTCAATAGAGAAGATGGTTGGGTGCTACCATCTGCTTGGGATCCTATAATTAACAAAATTAAAACCAAACCCAAGCATACCACTGCAAGACTTCAAGATACTGTAAGTTCGTTTTGCGTAAATCGGACCAAAAATTAATATTCAAAAACTGAAGGTAGCCAGGCTAACAATGATATTAGGACGTCAAACATCTCAGTCCCCCCCCCCGTGACCATGGTTGCTGTAAAGCTCCCGAAACGTCGGGAATTAAAAATAAGTAAAAGTAGTGAAATAAACGCGATAAAATCCGTAAATTTAGTTTTATTCAATGTGTAGTGTTCGCATAAATTTAAGAAATCATTTCACATCTGAGAAAAATATATTTTGAAGATTTGTGACATATGTTATCACTGGAGTAATAAGCCTGAAACGAGAGGAAGCCAGTGTTCCACTGAACACTGGCTTCCTCTCGTTTAGACGTATTTAACAATATCGTATTACAAACTGAGAAAAGATCGTGTAACCGTTAACTAGTACGATAGTGACGGGTGATAAATGACAGCATAAATAAGACCCGTATGGTAATAAAAATATATAATATTTTTTATGAAACCACAAAATCCTTTCTTGCAGTCCAGGTTAATTATAATTATCACCTCGCATTACACCTCTAACCGCAAGTGTTGACCAAGGTCCAGTTTTATAATGCAAAATGGTATAAGTAAATATGAAATGTAAAAGCTGACATTAAAGAACTAAAAAGTATAAAATAATTTTACATTATGAAGTCACTGTTAAGACATAGGGTATAGAAGAATTAATGTCCTGAATTTAGAATATGAAGTAAATTATTTTTTTTATGGAATAAGGGTGACAAACGAGCACACAGTCCACCTGATGGTAAGTGGATGCTGTGGCCTATAGAAATCTACATTTATCCCCGATTGAGCATCAAAATGCAGATGCCTAAGGACTAAATACACTTACCATACGAAACGCAGCAGCTTTAAGCTGCTATTTTATGCTAGTATTCTGAGTTTAGTGTAGTTTAATACACCCATGTGTGCTACAACTAATACGGTTGCAGCGTGGCTCTACTACATATAAAAACTACCAAATATAAAAAAATTCAAATTAAAAAAACACAATTTAATATTTTTACTTGTTTGAAGTCATAACTTATTACTAAGCCGTTTTAATGGATTAAAGAATATCATAATTTCAATATCGGCTTAATAGCTATAATAAAAAAATACACTAATTTACGTGCGACCTCTGAAGCACAATCTATTTAATTAAAAAGAATTATTAAAACCACCAATTCTATAAAATATAGAAATACAAATAACATGAAGTAGGTAACTAGTTACAGTCTATTTACGTCCAACAGCCCAGCACAGACCTCCTCTCATTTCTGAGAGGGTTTTAGGGCAAGGAAATGATCGCCACGCTGCCTAAATGCACGTAGGTCAAATCTTCGAAATATTATTTATCCTTATTTCTTACACAAGCGGGTTTTTTCATGGTGGTTCCTTTACCGCCGACCATGTGGTAAATCAGCATTTACTCGTAAAATTGCAATTAATAATTTCGTTGGTGCCGGCGGGCATCGAACCCAGGTTGCTCGCATACTCTGCAATTTTCATCAAGCGCTAAGCTCCTGAGCTATTCCTTAGTAGCTTAAACTACTAACGAAATAATGAAAACATAGATGATGAATTCACATTTTAATACTAAAAAAATCATTAACTTTATTTTTGCATAATTTTGAACGTGTGTGTAAAGCAAGTTTCTTATACCAATCAAAATTAATAGTAAGTGTCTTTATAATATTATTCTTGTTTTTTACTCTTTAAAATATTGCCAACAGAGAAAGTTACATAATAATACGACCATTGTGCACTTATGATTGTTTTTAAAATAGGTCTACGATAATACCCAGCCATTGTTACTGGCCTTATTTTAACTTTCATTAAAAGTAATATAAATAAAAATAAAATGAAAGATAACAACAAGAGCCATTAAAGTATTTATTATCCGGTCGTGTAAAAGTATGCCGCGAAGTATACGACCTAAACCAGGATCTTATTCTGCACTTTCTCCAACACTTTATTCAAGCGAAATCAGACGACAGTACAGCTTTTTAAAGAACAGAAATAAAGAACAGAAAAATAATTGTATCATTTGAACAGCCATCTTAAGCTAACAAATAATTTCTATAAATGTTTTCCTAAAAAGGTTACTTCATACTTACACACTGAGCAGAGTTGAGCCAAAACCCCTCACTTTTAATATTGATTCTTACCACCGGTCTATTAAATTTTGGTTCATCATTTTGAATCAATTATCCATCATTAGTCTATCCGCTGGAGCCTTGAAGTTCAACAAATCTTCTTTTGAATCGTTACCTAAGAATTAGTTGTTTATTAGGTGGTAGAGCTGCTTTGAAGTTGTATATTATTGCTGCAGCACGAATGGGTCATCCTGATCGTGGTGGACCACGCTCTTACAAAATATCAGCGTGAAACAGAAAAATAATGATGTGTTTCTTATGTGATTGTATAAGAGCGGAGTCCCTTTTTACTGGTAACGAGGTATTTTATCTTAGTCTGTAGCTGCATTTAGATTTTTAATTGATGATAGATGTGGATGTCTATGGGCTGCGTTAAATTATCATCAGGTGGAATGCATGTCCGCTGGTCAACCTTATTCTGTACGAAAAAATTAAACAGAAAATGAAAGTTTACACTACAAAAAATTTCTATATACATATTTCAAATTTATCGTTTTTTATTGATATATTCTACAAAGTTGATCTGTCACTTAATACTGCTAATTTGAAGTAGTTTTTTTACCAGCAGCCAGTTCCATGTCATGGGCGTTACTTATTCATTGATACTTGCCACGCGTAAAGTACCTAAGTAGTTATTTATTTTTCGTTAATATTTTCTCGTATTTTTTTATTAAATTTACTTTAAAAAATCCACAGTATAAGCTTCTACATTATTAAGTTATTTTTTATAGAATAAGGGTGACAAAAAAGCACCAAG